GGAGAGGAGAGAGAGGAGAGGAGAGAGGAGAGAGGAGAGGAGAGAGAGGAGAGGAGAGAGGAGAGGAGAGAAAGGAGAGGAGAGAAAGGAGAGGAGAGAGGAGAGAGGAGAGAGAGGAGAGAGAGGAGAGGAGAGAGAGAGGAGAGAGGAGAGAGGGGGGAGAGAGAGAGAGAGATCTAATGAATTTGTTTCTTGAATGGATTGAGTTACACAAATATGTTGCCCCAAAATTGGACGTAGCTCTCTTCAAACAGAATTACATACATTTTCAGTTTAGAATAAGAAATTGTTAAAAGTCCTACATCAATAATAGATAAATCACATATGGCTTCCAAGGTATATTAAATCCTATGATGTAATAACTTACAGATAAATTTTATTAATTAGCAATCACTTTAAACAGAGTAGTTATTAATACCAAAACAAGGATATATTACTTCTAATAGTCAAGATCTAAATCAACATTATGAGGTAACTGCCCTTTTAAGAAATATGCTACTGGATTCAAGAACAAGAAAATTGGCTGATGTAACAGAAAAGAAAATAAGAATGAAAACTAAGAGAACATAGATGTTGGAAGCTCTAAGAAAACATGGACAAAAACTGCTGTATCGTCTGAATAATACTTCTGTCTACTTGTCAATTAGTGGCTGAGAGGGAGGAGGGGATTCCGTTATACAATCAAAGGCTTCAAATTGTAATGTCATAGCAGAAATTTTTAAGAAAGAAAATGAAATCTTACTACCTGCAGCCACTCAAAATTGAAGAGCACTATTTAGTGCCTTTACTTGTTTGATTATGTATCGTGTGTGCGGTTCTGTCGTCTATTACTGTGAGCTTTCATTTTAATATGTTTCTTGGTACTGCTGCTGATGAAAGAATGCCACACAATCACATGTCTACCGGCAGAGTAAGATGCAACATTGCACTACCCCACCCCCAGTTGTCAAATACACAGAAATATTATTCGGTCAATACACAATGGCAAATTTATTACCAATGTGTAATTACTAACCTTAGATAATCGGCCATTATAGCACAGCAATGGCACCCACACTGTAGATACATTGGAATATATCAATAAATTAGACATTAATTTTAAAGGTAAGTTTCCTTTCTTCACAGATAGCTGGAATAAGACAACTGCATCTCCAGGATTAAGTGTAACTGAATTGAATTTCTCGATCTGAAGAACAAAGAATTAATCATCATGACAAATATAAGAAAGTAACTAATTTCACAAAAACAATTTTTGGCAATAACATACATTAAAATATTCTTCTGCTTCCTTTTGAAGAGAAACATTTGTGAGAGCTAAAGGTACTTTAAAAGAATTTCGTACAGTAAAATTTCTTGTATCATGATGAGCCACTTCTGAACAATACTGTGTCACAGATGCATTATATTCTAAGCCTCCTTCTAAAACTTGAGCAATATACGGAATGACAAGCTTGTATTGATTCTGTTTGCTTTTGACAATTACTTTTCCACTAAATTGTTTAGATTCAAATGCTGCATGCCCTGAGGAAAAGACACAGAAAAAATATAAAGACAATTTCATTCTTAAATTTGGATTTAAAAAAATCATTACTTACAATCAAATGTCAGAGTTGCAATCTGTGTTGCTGAACTGGAGTCAGGTGGAACTTTGAGAGGTTGAAAGTCAATTCTCACAGCTTTTGAAAATGGAGCAGTAATCACATTCTGAAGTACGAAAACATAAAATGATATTTTATCTAAACATTTTAAAAGTAAAATGTATTTACTGCATTATAATGTGTACTTACTTGAATTCGAATTACTTTTTTAAGAGAATTGTAAAGAGCTAATTTCACTTTCCTTGGCCTGTCATGGCTTCCACCAATTCCAAAATCAATTATGTCCTCATGAGAATACAGCCCAGGCTGTGATGACACTTCAACTTCCAGTGGAACCACCAACACTTCTTCACTTTTATTTACTTTAATTCTGTAAATTAACATTTTATACATAACCTTTACTTTAAGGCTCACCTCAATAAGCAAAACCTGCTATATTGATATGATCTTTTCCTGTCTACCTTTCCGCATTTTATCATCAAGTATCTTTTTAATGTTTTCTTAAGACTCAACACAATTTAATGAAACTGAAGAAATCAATATTAAATACACATGCACCACAATTTTGAGTTTTTTTTTTTTAAATTTAAGCACACCTGGTGCTCTTTCAGCAACCCCCTTCCCATTCAGTATTATCAGTTTTCATTTTCTTGTCAGACGGCAGAACATCTGACTAATTTTCTTGATCTTGATTTGATTTTTTAGTCCAGTAGGTAGGTAATGAAAAAAGTACCTAGAAAAGGGTAACAAAACTGTTTCTTTGGGTGTTCAAAAAAAGACCGGACTGAGCACCTTGCTCACAAACTGCTTGACATATTGAAGTGCGACACATTACGCTATTTAGGTGTCCATGGCAATTAAACTGCAGCATGGTATGGCATGGTCTCACTAATATATTGGAGCCACGCAACAGTGATTCTTGTACTGGCCTGTAGAACAATTGTTGTGTTAGTACATATAGGTGGAGCTAGAAGTGCATTTGTTTTTGTTTTAATACTTGCAAAAGTGGTACAAAGACCTTCAAATTTGAATTTATATTCACCAAATAATGGTGGCAGCAACAAGCTGTTAGACACATATCTCATAATGGTTTAATTATAGTTTGCATTCTTCTATATTAATTTTAACACAATGTGTCCTATTTGTTCGAAGTGCCCTTGAATGCACTCAAGATTTCTTTATCAATGCAGACCGTTCCTAGCGTGGGCAATGCGATTGCCAATCAAGAGTGATCTCTGTTGAATTCAGAAGTTTCTTTCTAAAATGACATTTCTTTTTCTCCTCCATTTTTTTATTCCCATGTCCCATTCAAATCATTTCAGTTATGCGTTTTAAATGAATACGTTCATATTAAGTCCCTTTAAGACCGTATAACGTTGAAATGATCCCGGTGAGGCGCGGAGCGACCTGCGCCGAGAACCCGGAACCTGCGTGTTACTTGAGTCGGCAGGCTCCAAAGCGCTCTCGAGGAGCGACCTGCCGCTCGGTCTCTGAGGCGACTTCCCGCTAATGAAAATTGGTAGCGCAAAGTCGGCTCATGAGCCACATCCGGCAGCGGAACATCGAAAAATTTCAGAGTCGGATGCGTACGGAAGCTCTCTGAGGATCTCAGGAGGCGACGGCAGGCTCCGAGGGAAAGTCGAAGGCGTCCACGGGAGAGAGTCAAGACGTAGATGACCAACAAGAGAAAGTTTGTGCAATGACTGTCCCAATCTCCGAAGGCCCTTTTGCTCGCCGTAATAACATAAGAGATCCTTTCAGTAGCAGCATAATAAGCCAATGAAACTGATCACTTTTCTCCAGGCTGTGGCAGTCGTGCGCTTCCTGTCGCCCATGTAGAACACCGTGCTTTAACCCCCACAATTTCAAGTAAAATCAATCGTGAAATCGAAGCAACCAGCCGCGGTTCACCGCCGCCAGTAGCCCACAGAGGATACGACCTTCGTTTCCGCAGTGAAACATGAGTTGCACAAAGTTATCAGTAAGGTCCTTATTGCGTGTCCGTTCTAAGGAAAAAGTGTGGTAGGAAAAGGCAACCCCTTTAAATATTCAGATAAAATGAAAATTTTAAAATTTGTCAGGGATAGTGTCAATAAAATAGGGAGTAGATATTGCTAAACTGGGAAAACGATAGTGCAAAAATATTTAGTTTTTATTTTGCTCATAATAAACCTATCCTGCATTGAAATTGCTGGCTCCAAAGTTTGAATGTTTTGGGGGTATTTTTAGCATGTAAAATCAAATTCAAAGCCAGAAAATTCCTAACACGTACTATTTTCGTAAAAAAAATAAATTTTCTTTTCTTTACAGTGTGATTTTTATAGGCCTAAAGAGTATAATATACATTTTATACTGTAGCGGTACAGAATTATTAAGATAAATTAAATTGAGTAAAATAGACCTAAGAAATTTTTTACTGAAGAAAAACATACGTCGTCACGCGCGCAGCCCCACTTCTTGCAACAACCACGATCCCCTGACCCATTTCGAATGTTTATGACACCCCACCCAACAGCCGAAGGAAGGGTAAATTGTAAAAGCGCCCAGCGGCAACCCCACATTTGGAATACTTCGAAACGCTGTCATCGTGATCGGGGAAACCCGAAGCAATAATTCAGTAGCCGGGAAGCCCCTTCAGAGACGTGGCCTACTTTCGAAACAGAGAATGGAAAAATCCTATACTCCGCCGGAGCCCTATTGGCCAAATTTAATGTACAACGCCATCACCTTTAGCCAATAGCGACGCGACCGTTGTAGGGAGCAAGAACATACGAGGAGAAAGGGTGGGGATAAAAGTTAACTTCGTGGCGTTTAGGAGAGAAACGAAGAGATGAGAGTGAGAGAGAGAGACTTCTCTGGGGGTGGGAGCCAGTCGCGGGAGAGGCGAGTACCTCTGAAGGCACTTGGTTAAAATTTCAGTTTAGTTGAAATCACTGGGGGGTGATAAGACCGAAATTCTCAGTGAGAATTTTAGAGGAAGTGCAAAAGCACTTCAAAAGTAAATTGTCGAATCCTTTGTCACTGCGTATTCGCTGCAGGATTTTCGCAATTACTGAAATTTTTATTCGAGAAGGAATCGCATACGCAGAGAGGGAGACATTGTTGTGTGCTCCGCACCTGCGATCGCAGGCGATATCGCTCGCCAGTTATCTACAAATTTGCCGAAGAAGCCTCCAGACGACCTCTGCTGACGTCAACGACTGCTGCAGACGCCGCTGCCACCTGCTGTTGTGGGGGCGTGCGCCCCGAACGAATTCCTGGTCGCCTACCGCGCCACCCGGGCATACAGAACATCTGGCACGAAGGGCTCTCAGGCATTGTAACTGGGGGCAATAAACCTTTTTTGCAGAATTGTCAAAGCGGTGCCGGCCAAGGCACAAGAAAGATCCTCAGGGACAACTCTGTGAATCTAACTATAAAAGAATTTTGTACTCTTCTCTAGTTGTAAGCTTTCCTTTATATTTTAATCTTTATTTTTTCTTTTATTTCAATATTTTCTTTCTTTTATTTTTTTAATGTAACTTCCCTGGTACAGCTCTGTCCCAGGAATAAAGCGTGTCTTGTACCAGTAATCAAATTGTTTATTTCGAATGCCCATGCATGCTTTAGCTTACAATGCCTTCAATCACTGAATCTTAAGTTAAGGAAATTGTTACAATTGGCTATTTTTTACACGAGTAAAAGGGAATAGGACCGACTGAGCTAGAACCGGGAGGTGTTACAATACATAGAATTATATAAACTGTAATACTTTACTATGTGTAGTTTTAGATGCCAGTATTTGAAAACCAAAATGATTTTAATGTGTTTATAGTACACACCAAGAACACCAAATGCCTCTTACCTGATACAGAGTGCGAGCGCCTCAGGAAGTTACAGTGAGATAACATGCACCCTTGCCATTATCCTATGTAGATACCCACTCCTTGGGAATCCAGACCACTTGTGTTATATATGTAGGAAATACACACTGCCTATGCCAATGTGTAATATTGCAGATATTGTAAAAATTCATCTCACCTATTTGGGAATTGAACTTGGAGACCAAAGTAAACTTTGGGCACCCCACAAACTTTGTAGTGTGCGCATTGAAGACTTTTGCCATTAGATCAACGGCAAAAGACTGTGGCTATCTTTTGAAATATCTATAGTTTGGAGAGAAAACTATAGTAATGACTGCTACTTCTATTTGTGCGGCGTGAAGAGGTACAATTCCAAAAATAAAAAGCAATTTGTGTAATCAGTTCTTTAGTCAGGCGTTTTACATGTTCCCCATGGGGCTGATGCACGAATCACTGTGCGACCAGAAAATCCTAAACAGATCTAACTCCATCTAAAGGAAAATTACAAGAATGGATATTTAATGGTCCTGATATAAGAAAATTGAGATCAGATACAGCTTTTAAAAACAACATGAAAAGGAGAAAGCAGCATGGATATCTTTCTGTGATGTTTCAAAATTTCTTGGTAATAATAAGGATCCTAATTACCGAAACATTGTGGCTAACATGCTTGAAGAATACAAACAACTGGCATTTAACATAAGTATGAAAATTCATTTCCTGCTTTCTAACCTAGGTTATTCCTCTGAAAATCTAGGATTTTTGAGCGAAGAACAAGGCAAACGATTTCATAAGATATGAAGGAGTTCGAAAGGAAGTACCAGGCATGGTGGAGCATCAGTATGCTTGCAGACTATTGTTGGATGTTAAAGCGCAAACTACTTTGTTTAACCTGAATGTTAAAAGAATAAAGGAAATAAGGACCTTCTCAAGTAAGAAGCAACAGGTGTTAAAATTTGCGTGAAACAATCCAAGAATGAAGTAAACAAGACTAAATAAAGCGAAAACACTCTATTGACATATAAACAACCATAATATTAATTTCAACAAGCTGTGTTCAGGGTCTTTAGCTTATTTCGCAACCCATGTCTGGAAACACCATCTCTTGTTTTGGCAATCTTTGTGAAATACCTTTGGCATCCCTTTTTCACTTTTAGTGACCCACGGTCGCGTGCCCTCACTTTTCGGGATGGACGTATGGGGCTAATTTAAGTCGGAAGAAAGAGAAAGCACTTATTCTGTCCTTGTTACTCTTGAACGTACTGCATCCACTTCACTACAAAGAGCAAACGCCTGTCTCTTGGCAAATGTTGGTCACTTCTAGCATTTACTCGCTCAGTTTCTTTTTTGTCATTTTAAGAAAATTATATTTTCTTATTTTTTGTCAATTATTTCCAATAATTAATATACTGCTTATTTATGTTTTACTGGTATTTGTTGTAATTAAGTATTTAGTATATATTGTTTGCACAATTAAGTTGTTTATGAAGGTTTTTTTGCTAAATAATCAGAATCCATAATAATAATAATAATAATAATAATAATAATAATAATAATAATATTAACAATAATAATAATATTTCATTATTATTGTTTTAAAAATAATGAAGAGCTTAGTAGTAGTGTTTCACGAGATATCTTCATTTCTTCTGAGCCATCTTTCATTAAAGAATAATTATTGTTAGGTTACTGTCAATAAATCTATAAATCAGCTAGAACTTGCCCCAACATCTTCAGTACTAGTTTTGTTTCCTAAGAATACTGGACAGATTCGCCTAAAGAGACCTTTTGTTCCGTGCTCATGTCCCTGTCTACCTCCCCCGAAACACCTTGTGCAGTGCTACAAGATTCTAGTGTGTGAGCCGGGTACCTGCGCACCTAAGCCCTTGAATGGGAAAAACACAGAAGCAGGTAAGTTGGTGCAGCTTATGACCTGACTGTCGCCTCCTCCTCTCTGCCTGGACATGCCAGGCACGGCCGTCTTGGAGATGCCAAAGACACGCTTTCGCCAAATTACCAAAACAAAAACAAGTGTTATAGACAAGGGTTGCGAGTTAAGCTAAAGGCCCTGTATATTAATAGATTGTTTTTTCTTTAAAATAAAAAAGTATTATGAAAATATTTGTGATAAAATCAGCATTATTTACAATACAAGTAAGTGATTTCACAAAAAAATCTTATATAATAAAAGTAAACTGATTGCAAATTCAGATTCAGCTTAGCAACATTATATAAATTCTCAATTTTTACTTTAAGCAACAGACAAAAAGGTTAAATTTGCAGGCTAGCGTAATCGAATTATGGTTTTTCCCTTCAGTCCCCTGAAAAATGTACAAGTGACGTTTTACTGTATATGCAGTGAATGTGAAAGACAGTGTAAGCATTATCACATAATAAATTGCATCAAACAGATCAAACCAAAACAATGTATGCCGTCAAATACTAATTGCATGATATATGCAAATTTCCATCATTATTATAATTATATGGTTTCTAAATGTCACTCTCTTCCCACCCTCTCCTCTATGAGTGTCTTACCTCCACAGTAATCTCTTCCTCATTGTAATTACCCAGCAACAAGTTTTGTTGAAATAACATTGTTCCCTCATTGAAGAGATTAGCTGGAACACGGACACACTCAGATACATTACACATCCATCAATTTTTACTTTTCCATATACATATGCATATACGGAGTAATATACATAGTATAGGGAAAGTTATGTAATGCTGCGGTAAATAGATTTCGAAAATTCAACTAAATACACGTTTTGGGGTCCCCTGATACTAAAAAAGCGTTTTCTTTTCAAAACAATCATTCATTTGTCCTTTTGTTTGTCTGGTGTATGCGAACCACATCAGCGCCTAAACCCTGTGTAGGTTTTTGCAAACTGAAGAAATCCCTGTCCATTTGGCCTGAGTCAAAGTTCTGCAATTTTGAAAATCATTTCTTAGTTTACATAAACTTACATGAAGAACACATGTACTTTACATGAAGGGTACTTTAAGGGAATGGAAGTCCCTGGTACATTTTCAAAATTTTCTCAAAAATAGCTCCAAACTTTTTCTTTGAATTTCTTCTACGAATAGAGAAAAATACACTTATGAAGATGGCATAGGTTCAATTTTCACGGTTAACCCTAAATTTTCAAAATCTGCAAGAGTTTTAATATTTTTTGGCATCTTCCTACAACTACAAAATTGAAGATAAAGAATTTTCCTTGAAATAAAATGTGTTCCCCTAATTAGTTCTTTTATTATTAGGCCATGTACGTTTTTTTTGGAAAATGTACGTAGTTTTCACGCAATATGTGTTATTAAAAAAAATTGACAATATTTTCACAAAAACGGCTTTTTTTTTTTTTTTGTTTTAGAAACTCAATAGATGTCTATGAAAAAGGTTCAAATTTCGCATTTCCAGCAGCATTTAAAAGCCATTTTCTTAAAAACAGCTCAAAATTTTTCAATGAAAATTGCCATTTAGGACAGGAGTTATTATTTTTTAGTATTGAAAAAATAATATTTTGGTTCTAACAATAAAAAACTTTTTAAAAAAATCACTTTGGGCGTCGATAGATGGCAGGTGGCAAGACACAACGTGCAAGGGACGATAAGAAATATGATGCTAATCCAATTTTCGGGTATAATTTTTAAAAGTACAAAATTGAAGTTTTTTGGCTTTGACGAAGTTTGTTATACAAGATTAGCTATTTAAATAACTAAATACAACTAATGGTCCTTCAGAATGGCACAGATTTTCTTGCCCTAGTTAGTTTTCTATTTTTTTCTATTCTTGACAAGCTTTTCCGATAAAAGTCATTATCTCTCGGCTGTTTTCTTTAATCGCTAGATATAGAAAATATTTTTCTCATTTTCTTCATTACTTGGCTCCATAATGCTAGAACTGAAACACCATACTGTTACAAAATATTTATTGCACGTCATAGCTGGATAGCCATGGTAGCTAATTGGGCCTGAGCTCTTTGGAGGCCAGGTTGACTGGTTCGAGTCAGGAACTATTATTTGTGACAATACTGATGCCACAGGAAATAATAGATAATTACCGAAAAAATATTGAAAACCATTTGAAGTAATTCTAATTGCAAATGCTATTAATAAAGATAAATAAACTGGAAGTGTCTGGACGTGATTTTATAATTTTCAACTTTTAAACAATTTTTCACATATCTCATTAGATTTGTAAAATTATAAACCATCAAATCAATTGTTGTCTTTAGTCGCTTATGACTATTATGGAAGTGCCCATTCTCTGTTTAACCCGGGTGGCCGATATGGTTAAATGACTGTTTCGGACTCAGCGTTTCGGAGGGAAGGAGGGCTGGTTTGAGCCTGGCTTGGGGTAATTATTTGTCGCAACTCTGTTTACCTAGAAAACTATTATTTCAGAAACTTTATTGGAAATCATCTGAAGCAATTCTAGTCACATATACAACCTATTAAGATTCTAAATTAACTAAAAGTGTCTGTAGTATGTCATTTTCATATTCTGAAATTTAAAACAAGTAAACAACTCTCATGTCCCATTTGTACATGACATAAAATCAGTTGTTCAATATAATATTCAAATCAATATAATATTGTGGAGCATTTAGAAACATTGCAAGGAAGTATGTGCTTTGGCAGCAAAACTAGTTTTCTAAGCTACAGCTTGCTTTGTAACTGGTTTTGAAAAAATAATTCATCCAAAAGTAGTAGATAATTTTATCCTCTTTAAAATTGATTTGAATCCTTTTTGAACAGGACTTAAATTGAGACTCAAGAGATGAAAAACTAATCCCTGGCAACATACAACAAACCCAAAGAAAAAGGTTTTATGACCTTTTTTCAGGTAAAATGAACATACCAACTGGACTCTTGATGCAGGTATCCAGCAAACATTACATAACATACTTCTCAAAAATGCATTATGCTGGCTAATCTGTGCAATTTCCCTTCATTCTTACAATAATAAAAAAAAACACAAACCTGACATAAGCCGTGTGATTTTTTTCAGCTCTAGCCACAAAACGTATTCTGATGACAGGTTTTGTATGGAAAGGAGGAATTTCCCATAAATGTTTGGGACCTTCTAGCTCACCTGATGGCAGCTCCAAATGAAATTCTCCACCACTACTGTACACCTCAACAATCTGAAAACAAAATGAATGAAAAGATATGAGGATGTTAAAAGAATTCAAAGCAATATTAAACTTCCATTACCATATTCAAAATTGTATTACAATTATACACAATACCAAAATTACTTGTTATTAACTGATTGTTTGATTTGTAATTTATTTTATCTTTATCTCAAAAATTGAAAGAAAAAAAAAAATAATTTTTTTTGCAACTTTTCTTATGTCATGGACTCATATTAACGTTAACAATGTGGCTTTTTTAAAATGTAATTATTTCAGTAATCCCACCTCAAGATATTTATCCTCAAGAGACTTGCAGCTAGTCACTACTTCTTGAAACTAAGGCTTTTGAAGATTTTCATAAATTGCGAGAGATGTGAGAATTCTTGACATTGAGCAATGAACTAAATAAGAGCCAAATTAGAGCAAAGTGCACTTATAAATATGGAACACGTTTTACATTAAAACTTTTACATGCAAAAACTGTTTGAGTGAAATTGTGAAAAAAGACTGAGAGTGAAAAAGAAGAGAAAAACAAAGAAAAGAAAATACGAAGAAAAAAAAAGAAGAAAAAAGAATAACAAAGAAAAGAAAAAAGTTAACAAAACACACTGTTTTTCTTCAAACTTCTTAAGCAAATAGAATACAAAGTACTGAATCACATCACATCAGCATAACTTTATTTAAAATTTTTGATAGTTAAAAAATTACTCATTGGTAGATTTTCTTAACCTAGTGAATTCTATTCGCAAGACCAGCTTTTTGCTCTCTCATTCCTGCAAAATTCAACAATTCATTGCCATTCTTGGTATATTCCTATCATCATTTCCTTGTGTCATCAGTATTGTTTTCATAATTTTAGAACATAAAGGAATTAATTTTTTTACCTTTATTTTCTGAATGATGCAACACAACACACCTGGTAACTTAACTAAAATCTTTAGGAGTACCTATTTTTAGAATTCATGTATACATGTAGAATCAATCTATTGAAGCTGATTAAAAAAAATCTTTTAAATCTGTTTTAGTTCAGATAACCACTTGCAGGAGAGATCACTGGCTGCAAAAAGATGATGTTGAATTCATGCAAGGGAATGGAAAACTCTTTCCTGAGATATAACGGCAATTCTAGTTATCATAGAATACATCGAAACCTATTTTAGCATAATTTACTCCCTTTTGGAACTGAAAATTCAAGATAACAAAATGGTAAATACAATTCACCACACCACCATTCATTCAAAATCAAAAGTAAACTAGTTGTGCTGCAGAATAGCACTGACATTCCCATTGTAGTTAATTTTCTATTCTCTTTCAACTGGGCTACTTGTTCAGTGTACCCTCACCCTTGTCCAAGATGCCATACTGCCAAAGAGCGGTTTTTGACATTTCCTCTATTTTTCGGTACCCTAATGGTTGAACTGAAATACGACTAAGACTATAATACAAGAGTAAAACATGGTTCTTTCCGCAAAATTTTTTCAAAAATTTGAAGCTGTATTGGAGCATTTCTCAAAATGATTTGAGCTAACTTTCACAGAAAACGGATTTTTGTAGAAAATCACTTGAAATTAATGCACTTATACTCACAAGTGCAATAAAATAATAAAATATCACTGGTAATGTTAATGGTAATGCTAATGTTAATGATGTGAGAGATATTTCACAACTAGTGTTGCTAAAACGCATATTTTCTTGCGTATTTTCTAACTAAATCAATTTTGATAATTCAAGGAGTTCAACAAAAATTAGACCAGGACCATTATTTTAAGCCTGTTCTATTGGTTAAAAAAATGTAAAGAAAAAATTAAGATTTTTTTGTGTGAAAATGTTCTTTTTAATAAATTGCATTAACTTCAAGAATAAATTAGGCAAAAACTACTTTTTATCCAAAATTTGCACATGACCATTTTTAGGGATTTCATAATTCATCTCTAACTTTAAATCTCTAGGTGGGCAATGTTTATTTTTTGCTAATTTCAAAAAAGAGAGTAACGGTACTAGCACCACTATTTTTAACAGTTCTTTGAGGCAAACAAGAGGAAATGTAAAGAAATCAATTTTGAAAAAATAATTGTTTCAAAACTAACTAAATTTTCCAAATACTACTCATATTTTCAAAAAAAGTCTATGAGAGCATCTTTAAGATCTGTCGTTGAAGAATATATTTTATTAAAAAACTAGTAGTGCTACAGAATGGCACAGATTTTCACATACTAGTTAGTTTTCTAATTTCTTCAGTCTGTCCTAGCTTTTGAGACTTGGCCCATCCTCTTTTACCAATTGCCACACAACACCGTACAAAGTCCATTTTTTTGAAATTTTCTCAACTTTTCAGTTTCCTGATTCTAGAACCCAACTATTACTTTAACAAAATTATAGCAGAGTAAAACCTCATCCCAAATGGAAACATTCATTGAAGAATTTGGAGCCATTTTTATGAAAATGAAAATGGAAGTCATTCACAAATGCAATAATGTATCCAAATCACTTGAAGTGTTTATTTAATGGCCTGGGAGATATTTAAAAAAACAACAAAGGATACATCAAAGTGGATTTAATGTCATCTTATACAGTAACACTTAGCACTAACCGTTAAAAAGTTTTGGAAAAAAAAAAAAGAAAAGAGAAAAAGAAGAGAAAAAGAAGAGAAGAAGAAGAGAAGAAGAAGAGAGGAAGAAGAGAGGAAGAAGAGAGGAAGAGAGGAAGAAGAAGAAGAAGAGAGGAAGAAGAGAAGAAGGAGAGGAAGACGAGAAGAAGAAGAGAATGGGAGAAGAAGAAGAGAACACGAAGAGAAGAAGAAGCAGAAGAAGAAGCAGATAAAGAAGAAGAAGAAGAAGAAGAAGAAGAAAAAGAAAAGAAGAAGAAGAAAAAAAAAAGAATCCATTTTGCGAAAACTGCTTGAGCATTTCTGAAAAGGCGGAAAATCAAGCTCATTTTCAGAGAAAAGTTTTGAGTTTTGAGGCATCATCTGAAGCATGTGTTCTCATAAATGTAATAATAATGTGAACAAATCAGCACTAATGTAAATATTAACAAAGAGAAAGACAAGTCAAAAAAATAACATTTTTGTAATTTTTGAAAATACAAATGAATAGAACAAAATTGTGTTTATGTCATCTTAATTCACTTAGCACTATCTCTTCCAGAAGTTTAAAGAACAAATTTGTAGCTGGTTTTGAAAAATTCTTGTTTTTATTAATTTTTGTAATATTGTTAATATCTTTTACAATATTGTGTAAGAAGTACTAAAATATTCAAAAGAATGCACATGACCTTAATGAAAGAACTACTTAAAGAGTGTACATTTTATTTGAAGAAAAAGTCCCCATCTTCAATATTATAGTTGCAGAAAAACATTGAAAAAATTTCACTTTTGTAATTTAAGTAAATTTAGAGCTGACAGTGAAAATCAGATCTATCCCCTTTATTCATGTATCCCTATTCTCACAAGAAATTAAAGAAAAAATGTGGAGACATTTTTGTGAAAATATAGAAAATGTCCTGGGAATTTTATATAAAGCACCCCCAAAAATAAAAGAAAGTTATTCAAAATCACAGATCTTTGTGTTGAGCCAGATTGACAGGAGAATATCCTTTTTGGAAAAAATCTTATGAATAGTTTAGGCACTAGTGTTATTCACTGAGAGTTGGATATTTTGAAAAAATTAAAAGACTTTTGCAGTATCAGGGGACCCCAAAACATGTATTTTGTCGAAATCTCGAAATCAACTGTCTGAAGTATTACATAACCGTCACTGGACTGTGCAGATTACTCGGTATATATGTATGTATACAAGAAAGTAAAACTAATCATCTTTAATATTATACTTGTAGGAAGTCACCCTACTTTTACAATTTCCGAAAAATCGGGAATTTCAATGAAAATGAGACCTGCAACATTCTTTTAAGCGTCTTTTACGCTACCCAAGGAGAAAGTTTAATAAAAATCAAGTGGTGCTACAACAGCTCGTACTTTCTCCTTATATTGTGAATGGCTATGCATTATTATAACATGACAATATCTGTCTGAAACTACCAATTAAAATATCCTTAAACAAACGCGAAAAATTCATATATTTTTTTAATTCAAATGTTTAAATGAAAACAGCTTTCTGTCACTGAATTCAGTTCATTCACGTTGTACATAAATGTACCAACGATGTGCAATGTGTAGCTCTAAATATCTCTTAGCTCTAAATAAAATTATTGGTTCATATTGACAAGAACGAACATAGCCGTCATTATCACCTCCTGTTATGGGGTTACAACAAGGAACATTAACTGCCAATTTGTATGGGATACACATACATTTGCATTCTTGATACCGCTAGCAAGAAAATGAAAATGTATAGAAAAATACAATAATTGAATATCATTTTGTTAAAACAATATGTGTATTCATCAAAACTATTCAGTTTTTATATACACTACTCGTCATTTCCACATCTTAGTATGCAAAGCGAAATCACCTGCTCATTTCACATTAACTAAATTATAGAACACAATTTAAAATAGATTTAATGATTAAATAATATTAAACAATATTTCTTGTCAAGATTCGAATGAACCACCTCAGTTCCTGTCGAAGTTCAACAAAAAGAAGAATTCAAGACATTTTATCTTATGCTGTTTCTTTTTAACAATGAACTTCTCAAACCTCCAACACTGTGATGTTCCCCAAAGCAGTGGGTAGTAATAAGATATTAAATTTAAAATGTTCATACAAATTTATAGTACTTTTTTTCAATTTCAACATAAGGCCTGCACCACCTACATTTCATGCAAAAATTCGTGAAAAGTACTCAAGTTTTTGAAAAATTTTACAAGCCCTTATTTTGAAACATATTTTTAAGAAATGGATTTCGGTACATGGAAATATCTTTATCTTCAATATTTTTATTGTAAGAAGATGCTGAAAAAATTTCGAATTTTTGCAATCTTAGAAAAAACAGTTTTCAACAAAAATGAGACCTACACCATTTTCTTAAACATCGTTCGCAGTTTCCAAC